ATAAGAACATGCTGTCAAGTCAGGGGTATCTTGGTTCATGAACGCTTTTGTTTGCAAACAATTTGGTTGGCAAACAGAAGCATTCAGAAAAATTTTATTTTTATTTGCAAACTCTGTATTGAGTGGTGAACACCACCCCTGCAGTATTTCCCACACAAACACAAACAGGACCATCTTTTCAAAATCATAGAACAATTTAAATTCATTTGTGTTGTAACATGGACTTTAAGGTCCTTTATATGAATAAAGAATAAAGTGTATTAATACTTCATTGACCACCTACAAGTGCCAGTGATGCCAGGAAACAACCCCTAGCCTTCCAGCAGACACATCATTCCAGGAAGCAGTAGAAAACCTACATAAGCATCTCTGAAGCTATTGTACTGTGTGTAGCATTTCCCACTTTAAGGAAAAGAACAAAAGAAAGAAGTTAGAAGCTCATTTTAGAGTTATTAGTATTATTCAAGTAACATGGGAGAAAGAAGGATCTCTCAGTGGAAAGATTCTCCAGAAACAGTATCTTTTCAGGTTACATTTTTCCAACTAAGGTTAGAAAGTGGAGTGTGTATAGCACTATATCAGGTGTCTTAGCATCTAAAGTGAAGTATGATCTTATATTTTCAGGATACGGATAAAGCATACCACTCATATTTCAGACATAGCATTAGTTCATTTTATATGTATATTTCATCTCTAGTTTAAGTTTTTAAGGGTTTTACATTGATGAAATCAACTTCTGAGATAACTGGAACTCTTTAAAAAAGTGCAGTGGGTAACTATGCTAAACAAGATGTTTGATTTTTAGAAGCATGTATGTTCATGTGAAAACCTATTTGGAGTTACATAGCCTTAGGTTTCACACACACCTGATCATATAGCATGGGACCATCCTTTCTTTGAGGCAATTTGAATAGTTCTGAGGGATTTATGACAGGACAAAGTGGGCCAGAGAGAAGTGAAGTATTAGTATTTCTTTCCATACCCACAGGCAGGTGTGGACTCTGATCTCTCTTAATTCTCATACAACCCTCTGGGGTAGGTTGCTTTTTAAAAAATGTGGAAAGTAAGGTACAGTGAAGAGAGATAACTTGTCCCTGAGGTCATGTAATTCACTACAGGCTGGCCTGAAAACACATCTTCCTGACTTCAAAGACAGTTTTTCTCACCGTAAATGCCGGTCACTCTAAATTTAGACTTATTTCTACAGAATGATGGAGATTATGAGCTTAGAGCAGTGACGGTGAACCTTTTAGAGACGAGTGCCCAAACTGTAACCCAAAATGCACTTACTTATTCCAAAGTGCCAACAGTGCAATAAACCTTAAAACTGAGGAGTTTTAGTTTAGGAAAAAAAACCCGCAAAATAAACAACTTATACATTAACATCTTTTGTCATAAAAGAAAATCAAATATCATGTATGTCCGGTTCACCACCACTGGCTTAGAGGAACCGGTGACCTGTGCTTTGGTGCCATATTGTGCTGAAGATTCACAGATTTATATACCATAGATCCATCCAACAGAAAATGTGAAAACAATTTTATGTTTTAATGCAAGGATTCTACTTCAAACTCCAGCCATAAAACTGGCCACAGTGCCAAGCATCTATCCCTTGGTTATCTCCTCCAGAATTAAATTAGATAGGATTAGACCAGGGGTAAAGTGATCCAAGAATGAGCTTAGCTAGTGTAGGCTCCGAGAAACACCAAGCCCTCCGTGCCTCCAGGTCCTCCTCCTCACTATTCTCCCTTTCAAAATAAAGCTGGCTCCCATGTCCTGCTGGCTGCCTCTACGAAACTTTGATTATAAAAAATTCTATGCTGTTAAATTTGGCTGGGTACCTTTGTTTTCTTTGTTAGCCATAGAAATTGCTGCAGCGTTTTAAATCCTTGCAGGAAGACTTCTGTACATTCATCATGTGAATGAACAAACAGCAGAAATCATTTTTAAAAAATGTCCACTTGTATACGGCAGTGAACATACCCACCACACAAGGACTAATTTACGAGTGGAAGGGAAAAATTACACACTTCAAAGCATCCTGCTTGGTGGCAGTCATGATCATTAGTGAAAGTAATACTTATTTAAAAGCAGTAAATGGCTATTTCCAAACAGAATGGAATGTCATGCAAGAGGCATCATCCCACTCACACATCCCCATGCTCTCCAGAGAATCGTTAGTCTGTTTTCTTAACTCATTTCCTTATTTTTCCTCTCTTCTTTTTCTTCTCTGCTGAATATTACCTTCTACAATTAAGTATTAACAGTAAATGTGCACAGTAGTCATTTCAGAAAAGCAAAACAGTCAGATTCAAAAGATGCTATTAAAGCAGTATTTCTCCTACCCATGACAGAAAGCCCAAATGGAACTGTGAGAGGGTGGCACCAGAGTTCTAGTGCCTGGAGCTTCTGTCCAGGTACTATTTTGTGGTGCCCCCAGTGAACAGTAAAATAGTAATTTTGAGAGTACCATATCCTTCAGTGATCTTTCTCTTCTCAAGTCTCTTCCTTTTATTGCAAAGATCTCTAGGAAATAATGAATGTGTCAAGGCGGAAAATAATTATTGAATATCTTTTAGCTTTGGTAAAATAGCATAAAAGGGCAATATAAGGCATAGGAAATTTGAGTTTGATTCCACATGGTGATTTTAACCAATGGATATTTAACAAATATGTCATGGATCATATATTTTCAGTGTAATATTTCAAAAAGAGTAAATTCCTCCAATAAGCTTAAGTGTATTGGTGTCTGAGGGTTGTCAATTATTGAAGATCCTTATGTAATTATATTGAGTCAACGTCTTCAAAAACATGGACATTGGTTAAGGTAGGGCTTACTCATATGTTCTAAAACTAAGAGTTTATTTGGAATAAGGTGGTCTTCTCATTCTATTTAGAAAATAAGTTGTTACTTTTTAAAGACAAGCCAAGTTAAGATAATTATTTTAAGTTATTGCCAAGAAGGGAAAACAACTTTTGAGTTTTTTTAAATGTGTAGGACTCTTGGAACCACTCAAGCTAAATGATAAAAAAAGAGTTGTTTTTCAAAATACATGTTTTGAACAAAATAGGATAAGACAATACTCAAGGATAATTCTCCAGCTGGCACAATGTGTCTTACTTTTGTCAATTTCTGTGCTGGGGCCGTAAATAAGCAGAGTCTAGTAGATCTTATTTGACACTGAAAGTGGTGAAATTGAAAATCAACCAGGTTTCCCTCATCAAGCATTTCTGTATATTATGAGTTCTGGAAAAATGTGTAAATAATTAAAAAATTGTTTCACTAAAACGCAAATGTTTGAGAGTGCATAGAAAAGGGGCATTGCTGAGAGCAATGCAAGGGAATGGGAAGTGAGCCTACACTGAAGTGACTGTTAATAAAAATCTCCATTGGTGTTAAACTCTAAAGGAAAAGAAAAGCCATTCTCAGGCAAGTGACTAAGGCATACTATTCTAAATCAAAACAGTGATAATCTATGAATCTTAGGTATTTAGAACCTTGAGATTTAGTCAAACAGGATAATTGTATAAGTGAGAATACCCTGGCTCCAAGAGACGAGAAGACTGCTTAAATCACATTAAGAGCTGGAAAATAACCAAAATATAAAATACTGACTCTATTGACCTTGAGATCTTTATCTCTTTTATCACAAAGAGATACTTCTGTATTGTGTGAGTTCATGCAAGTTAAGTGAGAGTAAACTGTGCTAGCTGGTAACTGCACATAGTTCCTACCCACAGGCAGCGTACTCTCCCAAACAGAAGGCAAATGCAACTGGCAATTACAGTGCAGAATAAGAGTCCTGATAGAAAAAGCACTTAGCTTGCCCACACAACAGATTTACAGGGTCAGTGAAAGCTTTTCAGATGATCTAATATCTAAACCTATCCTCTTTATCAAAGGATAAGGAGGGATTAACCAAGGGAAGAGAGGGGAGGAAGAAGGCTGTTCCATGTGGAGGAAATAGCTGACAAACAGGATAACAGGGAAAAAAGAACTGGCAAGCCAAAGGAATTCAGTGTGGCTGGGAGACAGAGTGCATGGTGAAATGTGTTGAGAGGTATACAGGGCTCACCAAATCCTGAGAGGAATTTGGAGTTGACCTCAAGGTTATGGGGGGGGGCAAAGGATTTTATAACAGGGATGCTACCAATCGGATCTGCATGTTGGAAAGAACATTATAACTGCTTAGTAGGGTACAGTTACAGAAGGGATCAAAGCACTTTGCGGGCTGTTCTGATATCCCAGAAGATAGATGGTCTCATCTGGATGGAGTATGAGAGAGTGCACAGAGTGGAGAGGAGAGGTTTGGTTCGGGATATTCAGGCAGTAGAATTAAAAGTATTTGATGATAAATATATAGATAAAAACAAATGTGGGTCATTAGGGAATGAACAATCAAAAATGAAACTGAAACGTGTGGCAAAAGTCTTGCTTGGGGGAGTTTCTAAAATGGTGTGGAGCACCGTCCCTCAGTAAAACACTTTTACTGAGAACAGAGATTCATGGGAGCTGTGTGTTTGCTCACCATCAGTGAAATCACTGAATTCTGGGTCCAGGGTAAAGACCGAATTCTACAGATAATCTTTCATGGTGTTGTAACTTGGTTGTGTTCCTTTAGAACAGGCATAAATCCCAACTGAGATTTTCCCAGGACAAAAGAAGCTGCCTCAGGACACCTTCAGCCCCAAACCCTTCCCAGCCTCTGCTTAGCTTGGTGGATCATGGGTAGATGAGCAGGATAAGCTCCATGCCCTAAGCTCTGATCAGGAAGTATTAGTGATGTGCTCTTTCATCTTTTGGGAGAAGCTAGTCAGGCCAAAGGCAGCAGGATTAGTGCTGAATAAGAGGAACCTAAATTTGGAGAAAGATTTACTGTCTCCATATGGATTTTTCCAAAGGACCAAGGGTTTCTAGTTCCCAAGTATAAGGATGAATCACGTACTTTTGGGCTGTGGTGTATCCCAAACCCAACCCAGGACATAATTCAGGTACTCACCCCTTCGCCACCATTTTCACCTGTGTTGGCAAGCATTTCCTGCAGGGCTCTGACAGACAGAGACTGTTCCAGCACAAAATTGCAGATGCACAGATCTGGAGGAATATACTGTGGAAATAAAACCATAGTGAGGACACCTACCCATATCAGCAGGGATCAGTCACAATAACATCTTAAAGACAAAGAACCTGTGAATCAAATGACAGCAGGATGAATGGACTGAAATGTAAAAAGGTGACTTTCTTTTATTCAAGTTAAGTTGTATTTTAAGATGGATTCCAAAGGATGAGAAGTAGAACAGTGGCCGAGAATTCAGGATCCACTTGAACGAAGGCTGTTGGTGCAGACCGGAGAAGAATGCCCACAGCCCTGCTGAGAGGGGACAGGAAGAAAAGCCTATTCACAAGTAGGTCTGAGTGGGCCACAGGAAGACAGCCACCCACCGGGCTCTCATCCACGTCATCTGTGAGAGGGCAGTGGACATGAGGAATGTGGTTCCAGCCTACAGCGGCTGACACAGGGCATGTACTTCTTTTTAAAGAATCATAGTATAAAAACAGTCAGTAGAGAAGTTTCAGCGTTGTATATCTCCGAAGAAAGAACTATCCCCCACAAAAAACTTTCTAATTTGTTAGAGGCAATTGAGAGTGACAGCTTGTCATCATGCCTTTCCTCCCTGTTCTGGGGCATTCTCCACAATGGTTAGAAGAGAGCTTTTCTAGTACTAACTAGTAATAGTTAAGCACAGTGAGCCCATATTCTGTGCCAGACAGTGTTCTAAATGCTTTTTGGTTAAGTCTTCCAACCACCCCAAAAGACAAGAAGTCTTAATTTCCTAGTTTATAGTCAAGAAAAGTAAGGCACAGAGAATTTAGGTCACTTGCCTAAGTGTTACATTTGGCTGAGTCAGATTTACACCCAGGCAGACTATCTACTAAGTTCACACACTTAACCCTACCCTGTCCCTACTCCTGACAAAAATTAGACTTTTCCCTCCACAGTTAGAACAAATAATTAAATGTTATACTTATGGAGTATTTCATCTTAAGAAAGATGTAAAAACCCAGAAAACAAAGCCATTGCTCCTCAGGACCTTACAATTCAGTTTCATGATATTCTGCCTTCCTTGGGGATAACAAGAAGGATAACAGGATTGAGGAATGGAGGACAGAAGCACTGACAGTTAATCCTGACACTACGGCAGGCAGGCAGGCAAAGCTCTGTCCGCAGAGCTCTGATTTAAAAGCTAAAACCAGTCTGCTACTGAGACTCAGATAACTTTTCTAACAAGCATTTTCATTTGAAAATAAAGATTATGGACTGGCCATCTCTCAGTTCTTTAGTGCTGCTCAGTACTGCGGTCTTCATCTCCTCCCATTGCCAGTATCCTTAAAATGACAGCATACATGCTGGATCTCTTTACAATTTTCCTTTATTAAAAATTTAAGGCTAGGAATTAAAGCATTAATCCAGGATTGGGCACTCTAAACCTAATGGCCCGTGGGTCATTAGATTACTGGCTATGGGTAACTCCCATTTTCAAATACTTTTCCTATGATGTACTTTTCTACTAAGAAGATGAGGGAGTAGTTTTGTGTTCTAATACTTTTCTCATCAAGGTCTGTTTGATCAGGGACCCTAAGAATCTCATCTTCCTAGAATTCTGGCATTATAGGAATTTCTCTAGCTGTCTTTACTGAAACAATTTAACCTAAGAGAAACTGCACCACAAGGAGGATCACACTCTTTGTTTTTGGTTTGTTTTCAAAGTCTGTTCCCACAGCAGGTAATCATCTTATTTGTACAAGACTTGGAGATGACAGATGGTGATGCAGGCCACAGCCACACATCCAGGTAGTGTGTTCAGAGCACATACAGCATCATTGCAAGTAGTATGCGATTATGATTAAGCATTTCCCCAAAGAATTCATACCACAAACACAACATCCAGCTTTCAGTCGCCTAAAATATGATTCCATCTCAGGAGATTTTAGAGACTTAAAAATCGTCTTAGCCTACCTGTATTTCATGTCCCCAGAACAGGAGGAAGAAAGGCCAGGGTTTGATCAATTCACCTTCCTTGACTTCATTAGAGCGTGTAACTGGGAGATTTTCTGTTCAGAAATACCTGCATTTACTGTTCATACATTATAAGGTTCTTTTGAGCTAATCAATTGAAAGATCCCGACTCCTGTGACTAGTTTTATAATCAAACTATTTAAGTACACTTACTTTAATACAGAAACCTTCACAGCTCTATGTGGTAGAAAAAATGCCCATATCTGACACTGTGATTTTAAATCAGCTTTCTTGCCTGCTTGTGTCTGGTTTGTTTAGACAAGTGTTGGGAGTGCTCCTGGTCTCTGCAGTCAACTATCCATTCTGATGGAGGACCACTGATAGGTAAAAGGGACAATTGTCTATCTGTCTATTCCCTCTAGGCATTAAAAGCCTCAAGGTAGTTAAGATTTCATTGCTGGAATGAATAAGTAACTATACTAGGAGGACAGCGTGCCAGGGAAAGAAGCATTTCAAATGTGGGCACCACGTTGGCACAGGCTTCCAGTTTTCTTAAAATTTAGTTTTTGCTTGTGGTTCCCTTCTGGATGCTTTCTCCTTGGGAATATGGTCATGCCTTACTGATAGCACACAAACCAGCATGTAGTCAGTAGCAAAGGGGGATCAGGGCAACAGGAATATGTGGAGAAAAACAAAGTACAGCTAGCAACTCGTGACATGAATGGAGCCCAGAGCCACTTGACCTGCTGTGCCAGCTGCCATCCTTAATTAAACTCCAAGCTTGCCTGATCTCCCACCTCCACACTCTTGAGGAATGAGCAAAGGCCACTCTTCCATTCCAGCTCATTTGTTTGCAGGCTGGAGAGCTCCATGGGAGGCCAATTCACTGTCCCTGTGCTGGGGAGTCTGAGCCTCAGTCACTCTGCCTGGCAGGCATGGGGCTTGTGTTTGATGATACTCAGCATGGATTAAGAGGCTCTGTAACATCTGTTCTGAAACAGCTCCTCATCATTCTCTCCAGCACTGTCCTTAGCCTTGAGAAGTATTGTGTTTCAAGGTGTCCTACAGAAAACCTTGGAATACCAGGGCCACCAGTAAGCCAGGAACCAGAATTCATTTATCCCCACTCTATGGGGAGTAGGGAAAAGAAGGCCTGTATGTCCTTCAGGCTCCATAAACTTACATCATAAGGCACGCAAGATCATGGGAATCTGATATCCCTGTTACTGGAGTCACTCTTAGTGTTTATTTATCTAGCACTCATGGTAAGCACCTGACCCCACACTAGCTGGTGTAAGCCAAAACTTTCAAGAAAACAAAGTAGGAGTTAGTTACAAGAAGAAGGATTGACACCTCGCTATTACACTGGTCACCACAGTCTATTTTAACCTACATACTTCACCCCCATTCTTTTGATCAAAGTTTAATAAAGCCAAAAGCTTACACCAGTGGCTTTACTGTTGGTTTCATTAATGTGCCTTCTCAGATATATACTCAGTCACCTCCTTTATGAATAACTTGAGTTAAGTGTCTCATAAGGTCTGGGAGGAAGGCAAGTCTAACCTAACACTGAACAGTACTGGAAACCAAAGTTGATGCAGTGAAGCCTGTCTGCTTCACAAGGTTGTGGGTTCCTTGAAAAATCTATGCTTTCCTTTTTTGGGTATCACCAGTACCTAAAACAGTGCATGCTCCACTTGCATCTTTTTGAAGTCTCTCTATCCTCTTGGACCATCCAAGCACACATCACAGAAAAATTGTACCAAGCCTTCCTGTTAAGACCCTTCCCAACTCTCCTGCTTATTATTCAAGAAGTTTTCTTGTCTCATTATCATGAGCCTTTTCCAGTTAGCTGCTCATTCATCTGGTTATACATAGCCATGCCTCAGGAATAAACTGTTTAAGAGTATTGGGGGCTGTGGATTTAGCTCAGCGGCATAAGCGCCTGCCTTGAAAGCAGTCATGAGTTCGATCCCTGGTACCGATAAAAAGGAAAAAGACAAAAATAAAATAAAATAAAATAAAAATAAAAAATAAAAAAGTATCCATGCCTCTGACAACAATTTTGGTCTACTCTGCAGTACTAGTTGAAGTCAAATCTTTCAGTGACTTACTAGCTGAATAACATTAGGCAGGTGACTTGGTCTTTTCTGTGCCTCAGTTTCTGTACTTGTGAAACAAAGATATAATAGCATCTATTTCTCAGACTAAATTAACTTTTTATGATTAATGACCTTAAAATAGAATCTATCATATTATAAACAGTTAATGTCAGATAATATTAAGTAACAATGTAATCAAAATATCAGCTTTTCACTTAAATACCCACTTATCTGTATCTCATAGTTTTGAAGCTCCCATTTTGTACAAGGATAAGACAAAATTCCTCCCCATCAGCACTGTGTGGTCTAGTGGAAGCTCTAGGAAGCAAACGGAAAATTTCCAAAGCATGACACAAAAAACCCAGAGGCAAGTCAGAAAGCAGAGTCGGAGATGGCTACAGTGGAAGAAGGACGCAGCACGGAGGAGAGGAGGGAGGAGGAGGTGACTATGTGAAGAAAGATGGGGAAGGGAGGAAGCCTCGGGATGTGAGAAGTGAGGCAGAGAGAGGCACGAGGCATTGGCCTGGGAAAGCCCTCGAGTCTTTTGGTCAAGGAGGATTTGGACATTATCTTCACAGTGATAGGGTGACATTAAAGAAAATTTGGCAGGAGGTGATGCGGTCAAATTTACCCTTTGAAATATCATTCCAGGTCCAGAAGATGCAAGGCTCGATCCAGGCGGAAGGACAAACCAGGTGGGGATTGCGGTGGGCTGGATAAGAGGGGATGACGGTCTGGCTAAAAGTAATGGTGGCAGGGATGAAGATCTGGGAATGGATTTTATTTTTTGTTTTTGAGACAAGGTCTCTCAAAATATCTCAGGCTGGCCTTGAACTGTGTAGCCCAGCCAAGCCTCAAACTCATGGTGAATCTCCTGCCTCAGACTCCTGAGTGCTAGGATTAACAGGTGTGTATCACCATCCCCAATTTAGGAATGCAATTTAAAAATCTTTAGAAGTAAGGAGAAATAAGACCTGGTGATTATTT